GCAATAAACTGTACAATTACAGTTAAACTCTGTAAAATGACAGTAATGACTTGTAATTATGTTTTTTTTTTTTTTACAGATTATCTACATTTTTAATTTGACAGTTTTTTTTTATTATTATTTTACTGTAATTTTTTGGCGCCCCTGCTGCCAGAAAATTACATTTTTTTTTAACGTTTTTGTTATTATTTTTTTTTACAGTATATAACAGTTGGGTTTGGAGGTGGGGTTTTGTGCCACACCTTTTAAAAGATGTGCATTTTCGTACGCCTGAACTCTTCTAGTTCTTCTAGAACTCTTCTTGACTCTTTCTCTGTTTGATAGGCATAAAAACACAAAAGTTTAAGATTTACTTCAACACGTGTTGCTGATTTATTTTATTGTGCGTTTGCCTTTGTCATCTGTCATCAGAATCCACTCCTGAAACGGCTTTGCTTTCTGGCGGATGTTATGAATTCCTCTTCTCAGCCTCTTGCCACTTTCGGCATTCAGTCAGTGCGTTTCTGATGGATAAAGCTCATGTCTCTGCTCTTCCTGAAAATCCACTCAGAATCCCATCACATCTTATGTCTTTCAGCCCAGATCCTGAAGTGTGTGTCACTTTAAAGCACACTTCATTTATAATCACACTCATCACTCGCATAAAACTCAATCTAATCCAGGCTGTTTCTCAACACAAGCGCTGTATTTCACTTCTACCCTTTCCCGTTGTCTCTGTAAAAATGTTTAACTTGATTTAAAACACTGATGTCTCTTTCAGATAAAATAAAATGCACGCATGTCATATTTTATGTTACAACCTTTCATGCTTCATTAAAATCCACAGAGCACGTAAGCACAGAGCCTGATCTACAACAGTTGCTTTAACTTTACTTTCACTCCTGTGGTTTTTGTTTCTTTTTCAATTATTTGCCAGAGCATAGAATTTTTCACAGTGTTTCCTATAGTATTTTTTCCTCTGGAGAAAGGCTTATTTGTTTTATTTCAGCTAAAATAAAAGCAATTATTTTTAAAAAGCCATTTTAGGGTCATTATTTTTAGCTCTTTTAAGCTATATATGTATTGTTAAACTGTCTACAGAACAAGCAGTCGTTATACAATAACTTAATTACCCAAACTTGCCTAATTAACCTACACTGTAAAAAAAAATCTTTAAAAAAAGGTCAAATGACTTGCAGCTTCGGCTGCCAAACAAAATCATAAATTTCCTTGTTGAAATAAAGTGCAAAAAATAATAAATCTACAGATATTTTCATTAAAATGTTTACAGAAAAACACTGTTATTTCACAGACAATTTTCATCATTTCAGCTATAGGCAATTATAGGATTCAGTTATACATAAGTTATATGACATTTATGAGGCATGTAACATGTTTCTGTGTTTTTGTTTTTTTGTTCTTGGTGATCTTTAATATAGCTACGCAAATATTTTCTAAAACGTCTAGCAATAATTCGCCTACAGCTTGTTAGTTAATTATGAACACAAAAATAATTATAATAATAAAAATAAAATGAACAAAATAAAAAGATAATAGAGCAGCATTTTGCTAAATATAATAGTGCTTTATATGCTTTAAATCCTGCTATATATTGTTTCATATTCGTTTTTTATTTCACTTGCTGCATTCGTTATTTAATATTTGAATAGTAAAACAAATAACAGCCATCGCTTAATTGGTTTCATTTTACCATCAAAATGTAGTATATTTTATATCATTATCAACTTTTGATATAAAAACGCAGTGTAATTTAATTAATTGTTAAAAATGAAATAATTTATGTGCTGTGTTTTTATTAGTGAAAGTGCCCGCTCACATTTGACAAGGCCTGTCCAAAATGATATTTCTGCCACTATAATGCAAATGCACTATTATTGTTGTCTTATCATTGTTTATTTTTCTGTTATGTTCAGAGATTTTGAATATCATTTATTTCCCCTCCAATTATTTTCAATCATCACGTTAAATTTTGGTAATTTTCCCTCCAAATAAAATTTAGCCAGAGCTGCGCAACATATAAATAAATAAGGGTGCACATGTACCTATATTTAGCACCCCTATTTGATAGAGCGGCATAACAGTGTTTAGTCACATGGTTGCTTTCGCTTTTATGAAAAAAATAAAAAATAAAAAAAACTAGTTTCGGCTCTTATTTAACTTTAATTGAACAAAGGGAGCCGTTTACATTGCGTTACCAAGGCAACTACTGATGCGTTTTGTGTAATGCTTTAAAGAGCTTTGTCGCAGCACGACAGTGGAAAATGAAACCGTATGCGTGCTGTCTGGCCCGGTTTGGCACGGAATGGAACAGTTCTGTTTAAAGAACGATTCAGCACGATAGTGGAAAAGCGGCTCTAGATTATTACGATCGAACACCATCAATAAAGTGACTGCACTAAAAGTTCAAGAGAAAACAATGTTATTTTAAAGAAGTTTCCCTAAATCATTACGATTAAACACCTTTAATAAACTGCAAAGACATGCTCATGGTCACAATTTAACAGTTTTATTTTGGATCAAAAAAAGTCTGGAAAGAACAAAGGGGTCATTGTCTTGTTGGAAGGTAAACCTTCGGCCCAGTCGGAGTTCCTGAGCTATCAGAAGGAGGTTTTCGTCCAGGAGATCCCTGTACTTGGCAACTACTTCCTCTTTCCCTAAAATGCAACCAGCCATCGTGTCCATGCAGCTGAAAAACACCCCCACAGCATGATGCTCCCAACACCGTGCTTCACTGTTGGGGCTGTATTGGACAGGTGATGAGCAGGGCCTGGCTTTCTCCACACATACCGATTACAATTAAGGCCTAAAAGGTCTATTTTGATCTCATCAGACCAGAGAATTTTATTTCTCACCATATTGAACTCTTGGCAGGCTTTCAAGTGTAACTCATTATAATGTTTTACAAATGAGAATCAGATTCAAGCATCTTTATATCTCTGATTTATGCATAAAATCATAATCCACACACACAAACGCTCCTCTGCAGTTTACATTGATGCATTTGACAGGTGTTTTCACCCTAAGCAGTTGTCGTGTTGTAAAAGTACGAGATTTAGTGCTGACTGACTGACTGATGTTTACAGACGCTGTCAAATGAGCGGGAAAGAATGAGGATTAGATGCAGACAAAATGCCATTGACTTGAATAACCCCTTGTCCTCGCTGCGGTTCATTTCGTTATCTTCTGCTTGCTTTTTGAGGTATGTTATTAAATGGTTTAAATTTCTTTATGATTTGCGCATTATGAATAATTCACTAAATGAATATTTTCTCCACTCACTCATGCCATTCCAAATGCTTTCCACAGAACATACGTCAGGCATTTATTCCTCCGCTTTATTTATTTGCTGAGCAGCTGGGTCATTGCCAGAAATATCCATCAAATATTCTGCTGTTCTGAGGAGCATCTGAGCAAATTTTCTAGACTCGATTTGAATGATTATATTAAATTATGGCAATCAAAAGGTTTGTCTTATAATTGAAAAAAGAATGTCTTTTTTTTGACATTGTGAAGCACTTTGGTCAACGATGCTTGTTTTTAAACGTGCTATATAAATAACATAAAGTAAAACATGATAATTGCATTTAATATTATATTTTTAGGAACTCAGTTTTTTGGGTGTGAAATTAATAATAAGATCTAATAATTAATAATAATTAAGGTTGCAACAACGAATCAATTAAATCACTAAAAATCGATTACTAAAAGCATTGGCAATGAATTTCATAATTGATTTGTTGTGTCGTGCGACGCAGAGACATGTGATTATTTTTTTAAAAGTTCAGTGCGGAGTGAACACGGTCTCTCGTGCACTGATACAGACTTCAGCGTCTCTAAGACAGGGTTGAGGAGGAAAGGAGTTCAACAGCAGGGTAAATCACTACAGAATCCTACTTTTGTTCCGTTTTGAAGTAAGGAACGTAAAGTCCCTGGTGCTAGTGTTTACTCTTTATTGAGCTTGACAAGCATGACAAGTTAGCTTAGCTCGTTAACTCATTGTGGCAACTGAAAAATTCTTTCGCTGAGCCAAAGAAAGACTTGTCATATTATCACAATTAAGCAGTGTTTTTAACCACCTAATGTTTATTTTAGACATGTACACGCAAGTACTAGTAAAACAATACATATAGACTTTGTAAAACATACAAAAAGTCTATGGAAGTCTAACAATCCATTCAAAAATAATTTGCCGGTGTGTTTAATTCATATCAGATGCTCAGTGAAAGTAACTAAAGTTAAATCTATTCTTCCCTTTGTTCACCAGTCAATTACTTGCATGCATTTTGGGAGTAACTAATGAATTTACGTGCTGAATGCGTGTTAGGTTTATATGAATGGGCCAATTACGTCACGGGAGCTAGTTTTTTTTTTTTGTTTTTTTGCAGTTTTTGTTTTCGCAAATCCACCAGAGGCCGCTCTGTACAATTTTCAGATCTCAAATTTCTCTCGCGAGTGCCATTCGCACCCACTGTTCTCCCGTAAATACACCAGAGGCTGCTGTTGCCTGACTCACCCACCCCTTTCCCAAAACCCAACCAATAGTGTTTTCAAAAGCAAAGACTGACCCGCCCACCCACTTCCCTAAAGCCAACCGACAGTGTTTTTTTAGATTTTACTTTTTGGTTATTTACTTATTTTATTTTGTGTCCTACCCGCTTTCTGGAATGTTTCTTCACAAGATTCGAACCCAGTCACCAAGGTCAACTCCGCTCCACATCACACGTCCGCCAACGTAACTGGACAACTGGAAAAACAGCACAAAAGCCGTTCACACAGAGGTAAGCGGTCAGCTGGTAAGCATGAAAAGGAATGGCGTCATACGTAGCGTTTTTAAATACGAAATGCAGCCATACGTACCTCTGGGTATATAATTCGTGATCTCCAGAAATGTATATAGGGCTACGCTTTCAGAATGAGCCTGTGGTGAAAAAAAAGTGACTAGATTCCCACTTTTCGCGTTTGCTTCATTGAAGAAATCATCGAGCCGTAAACAGGGAAACTCATTCAGAGATTTTTTATTGAATTAAAACTGATTTTACAAACATTCTGGTGAACACACAGTATATTTATCAACTCACAGACAAAATCAGTATAGTTTAATAACAAAAAAACTAGATGGAGATGATGAAACTCAGGTAACAGTGGAGACAGGAGAGCAGTACACGTGTGACACACACACACTCGATAGTGTTCAGAAACATGATTAAGGATGTTTATGATGTCTGACCAGTGACATCATCTACAGTAAGAGTTCACTGTGAGGTCACCAGTCTGATCAGAGATGAAGAAGGCCAGTTCTTTATCTGTGCTGCCTGTGAAAACACACACACACACACACCGGAGAGAGACATGAAAACAGTGACAATATTTACATTTAGAAAATCTGAAGCTAGTTTGTCACTTCAGCCTAAATTAATAAACAATTTTTGTGACATCATACTTCAAATGCTCCAATCAAATGCTCTCTTCTGTCTGACATGCCCCGCGCCCAATTTGATATCTCTTCTCATTTGATGTGCATGATCAAGCACTCGCACTGATAAAACAAACCACTATTGGCTGCTTTTTTAAAATGGGGAGGGGCTACTATATGCCCCGCCCTCTCTTTATGTTTCAGTTGAGATTAAGCCAAAAAAATCGGATAAAAAATGCACTGCACAGGATTCACATGTTGTGTATGTGACAGATAAAGCGCACCTGTGTTTCAGTAGTTGATCATTCTCTTGACGGCCTCAAAGCACTTCCACTTATCCGGGATGTAGAAAGGCTCAAAGATGTGAGGGAAAGGTGTATCATATCCACAAACCCTGCTGATGGGAGCCTCCAGGTTGAGGAAACACTCCTCCTGCACAAACACACACACACATCCAATTATAATCCACATACCATACAGACTATACAGAACCTGATAAACACTGAAGAAAAGCTGTGATCAGAGGTGGCCAAAGTAGGGCCTGCGGGCCAAAGGATTTGTAGAACCTGAATAAGTCTGTGGTTTTAGTTTAAATCAGTTGTTATCTTAAAAACAACATAGCTTGGGATGTCACGACTGACCAATCAGAATCAAGTATTCAAGAGAAGTAATCATTTTTACACTGTATAGACTTCGCTTTGCTTTAAAGAAAAGATGTTGATGTCTTGATGTTGACTTCTGACTCTTGACTTTGTTGTTCATTAATGGCTCGTTTCCACTGACTGGTACGGTACGATTCGGGTCGGTACGGGTCACCTTTTTCAGGCTTGAGTTTCCACTATAAAGGGTACCCTTTTGGTGGGTGTGGTGTATGACAGAAAGTTTCAGTCGCATCATTCTTGCTCGAGGAAATATCTACATTAAAGCTGCACAGGTCGTTCACGTATCATATGAAAAGCACTTCTCACAAAACAGATGCTTTACACACTTAAATACTTCTGTATAAATGTATATTACTAACTTTTCTATAAACATGATTTTAATATAACTGCAGATCAATGACAGTGCAAAATAGCCTACTGTAACGTCTGTAATTATATTAAATAAATAAATAAATGAACATATATGAACACATACTGACCCTTACAGTCTCCGATATTTTACCAACTACAGAAAAACTACACACAGCAGACATTTCGTTCTTAATTAGGTTCAAAACAACACAAAGTATAGCCTACAGTCAGAAAACCTCTCATCTGTGTCGGCAATCTTCAGCAGCACATGTCATGTAGTCTCTGTTAGAGAGTAATTCCATCATTCCCAGTTCATATTAGTCCAAAAGGTGATGATAATAATTAAAACAAGGCCGTTTGTTCACGTTTGCTGAAGAAATAACGTGCTCCGGGTTTTTTTCGCGCTCCACTCCCGCGTTTGTCCTTTTCTTTCTGAATATGTCATACTTGCGTTTGTCAGCTTCTCACGGGATCGGGTTTCCAAAGCTTGTCAATAATCAAGCGCATGTTATTATTATCAGCTCAAGAAGATGTTATTTCAGATATAGACGCGCGGCTCGTAAAAAAACTGCGAGGCACAAGGTAGATTCTGCTCTACTCCATGGCTGTGTGGCTGTTCATCAGGACGATGATATATGAATATATAATTCCGCTGTAATCTCTCGCTGTGTATTTCAAACATGGCGGATCCTTAGTTTACATTCTGGCTTGTTGTAAGTGAATGACGTATCTCTTCTGTAAACCAATAGCGTTTAGCTGCGCGTCTAGCTTCGCCTTTTGGTACCCTTTCTTGTGTTTGGGACCCTTTCGAAAGGGTCCCGAAAATGTGATACGGTACGATTTGGTTCGGTACGCCTTTTGACAGTGGAAACGGCCATAAAAGCGCACCAAACTGAACCGTACCGTACCACTCAGTGGAAACGGGCCATAAATATAATCAATCAAAGCTCAAACATGAATAGTTAATGCGAGCCTCGTATCTTGGAAATGTATAACAGTTGGGTTAAATCATTTCCATGTATTCTATGCTTAAGAAACAATCCAAAAGCCAATGGAAAAATCATGTTGGCCTACAAAAACACATCATCACGACAGCTCTCGATCAGGTCCATCAATATTCAATGCTGCGAAACCTCCAAACAAAGGGAGCACTGCTGAAATAAAAACATGCTCGATCCAAATTCAAGAGCAACGCGATTAACAGTAACAAATGGAAAAGCTGAGTATTCTCTTCAGCAGTGACCCGAGCGAGAGGCTTTCAATTTAATCTTTTGAAAAGACATCAGGCCAGAAAACCCCTAACTGGAAGCTGAAGAAGCCTGATTTCCAAATGACAAAACACTAAAAACACCAAACTCGTTTTCACAGAACCATCAAAACTTGTGCATTAAGAGGGGGGCAGACGGCTTAAAAGCTTTGACTAAACCTCTGAATCATGGCCACCATTGAGATGTACTGTCTGTGTCCAAAGAGTCTAAATGTGAACACAGAAAATGCATGCGCTAACTCTGGGTGAACTCTTCATCTGATTGCCTTTTCTGAAGTCACTGCGTCAGACTTCATTAACTCTTTCCCTGCCACTCATCACTAGATAGTTGTAGTCGTTTTCAAAAAAACATTGGGCCGTAATGGCAGCTACAGGGGCTCTCCATAGAAATGCAGCACAAACTGCTCATATTTTATATCCGTTTCAAGCTACGAATGTTTGGATCACATAACGAAACAGAGATATGATCACAAACTTGCGCTCTATATTCTCCACCTGCACCTGTTTTTCATCATGTCCCAGTCAGAGCTCCAATCAGGTGATGTTTACATTTATCTTGTGGATATTCCTCAGAGATTTAGTCATTTCAGTTTATACGACTGCACCTGACCTGTACACTAGAAAAGAAACTGTACGAAAGGCTTACAAATGTACTGACGGTTATAAGTACAATAAATTGTGTTGGGTCAACTGTGCTAACGTTTAGCACAAGTGCATACATTTTAATTGCAATGCAAACATAATTAGGTACTTTGTATAAATATCTGAGGATTCATTTTTTTTGTAATATTGGGTTATCAAAGTATATGTGTATTCTGTGTTATTTTTAATTAATTAATTTATTTTATTTACTTATTTGTTTTTATTCATTTATTTTATTGTTATTTATCATTAGTATTATTATTATTTTTTCTTCTTTTCTCTGTGTAATTTCAACTTGTTTAGAGGGTAGGGGTAGGAATAATATTGGTTTAAATTTCTCTGTAAAATTACTTTGTTATATCTGTAAAAGTTTTTTAAAAAATTTTTTAAAAGTCTTTATTCTTGCTTTACATGAGAGACGGTGTAAAGACAGAAATGTGCATCAGATTTGCGTCAGGAGCGTCTCTGCAGGTCCTGGGCGCTGGAGTTGGTCAAACGCAGCCTGCTGTCCCTCCTGCTCGCCTACACATAATCACCGCTTTGGGATTTGATGTGGCACTATGAACCTAGTGCTTCTGTGGCTCAGAAATAGCTTTATCTGCATGTGATGAGGCTGAATGGAAAGCGTGCGGGTTGTAAAGAGTCCAGAAAAGGACACATCAGGACATCTGCTGATAGACAGGAGTTAAAATTAGATAAGCTAAATGCTTGTTCGCATATGTTCACCCCAACATGTTCGTGCAATGCATTTAAAAAAAAAACAATGTTTCCTTTCTGTGCACTTTTAAACTTTGTTGGTTTTGGCATTAATGTCCATTTATCTGCTTTACCCCCATCACTGAGATCTTCTGAGGTCGAGAAACAGAACAAATATACAACTATAATTCTGATGGTGTCACATTTTCATTAATTGATGAACCTTTTATAATAGTATTATCATGACATTGACCTTAAAAAAAAGTATTTTAACACGTATAATAACAAAAAAAATACGTTTTTAGTGTATTGCTGGATATACGCTCACCGGCCACTTTATTAGGTACACCTGTCCAACTGCTCGTTTATGGAAATTTCTAATCAGCCAATCAGATGGCAGCGAGTCTATGCATTTAGGCATGTAGTCAGTTCAGACGATCTGCTGCAGTTAAAACCAAGCATCAGAATGGGGAACAATTACAATATGGAAAGATTTCAATTTCATAAAGTTTTACATTATGTTACTGTTCTAACATATTCACATGACTGTAATGCTGGGTTTTCTTCTTCTTTTTTTTTTAAATCTAAAAGTGGATGTGTGTACCTGCCAACCTGGAGCAAGAGCAAGACCAAACCTCTAAATGCTCTTACTGGAAAAGCAGGAGAACAGAGCAGTGCAGTCCTTTCCCAAGTCATGGCACGTGGACGGAGAAACAGCACGATTACTTCAATTTCACCAGAGGTATGAATCATTTTGGGCTTGACTTAATAAGAAGTGGCCCATTTGGCATGTCACCATAAATAATTTGTGTATTGTGACAGAAATTATTGCGATACGTGATGTTGATGTCATTTGGTCCCACTTTATATTGCTGAAGTTTTCTCTGCGCGCTTGCGTTTTATTTAGAAACGACTTTGGTTTAGGCTTGAACCAGCATCCCAGCGAACTTCTTGCTGAGGTGACAGCACTACCTACTGCGCCACTGCTTCGCCCCTACAGCAAGTTTAGTTTATTCAATTCCCCTATAGCGCATGTGTTTGGACTGTGGGGGAAACCGGAGCACCCTGAGGTAACCCACGCCAACACTGGGAGAACATGCAAACTCCACCTAGAAATGCCAACTGGCCCAGCCGGGACTTGAACCAGTGACCTTCTTGCTGTAAGGCGACAGTGCTAACCATTGAGTCAACATGCTGCAATGACAAAAATAACATTTAAAGTCTTACTGGCCCCAAATGTTTGTACTGTACGTACACATGCATCTAAATATACACACATTTTTTCGTTTGTGTGTGTGTGTTCTAAGTGGAAGCAGTAACAGCCGCAGATTAGAGAGCATTCAAAGACTAGCGTGACACAGAAATGCCAATATCGCTGACCGTGAGAGCCAAAAAAGACAATTGCAAACTGTGTGTGTGTGTGTGTGTGTGTGTGTGTGTGTTCGAGGAGCCCGAAACCATTTACAGATTTAAGCTCAAAGAAACCAGGAACAAAACATACGCTTCAGTGCCAACCAAATTTATCATGTTTCCCACATCATGCCGCATGAAATCCAAATTCAACATCACTCAGGCTGTTTATGAGCAGACATCAGGGATATTGAGTGAATATGCCAATCATTTAGTTCTGGCACACAAACTATAGAATAACCGACAGAATATTCTGCAGAAATCACCCAAACTCACTCACAGTCCTGTTAATAAAATCACTACTGCCATTAAATCAGTATCGATACTTATTGACTGATTCGGTGCGAAGCGCAGTAGTTTTATTAAAATTGTGGCTGCTGAGAGCGCAACTTGAAAGCAGTGCC